AAGAAAGACTGTTATTTGATTTACAGCTGGAAATGGTACTCCTGAACGGTTGGGCTGAGGTCAACCAGGGAACACGCAACATTGTCCAGAATAAAGTAAGTGTTTCATATGAATATTAAGCGACTTTATTCTAAACTGCTTGGGTAGAAAACTAGATACATAAATAGTGTTAATTTAAACACGCGATATTCACTAAGAGCCATCATCATGTAAAAAGTAATTTATAATCCTATAACAATAGTATACATTATTGCTATTAAGAATTATATTGGAAATATTGCATGTACATTACTGTATATACTGGGTTAATGTGAATGCAGATTTTGATTCTGAGATATTTTATCCTGCATCTTTTTGCAGAGAAGTGTAGTATTTACTATTATTTTCAGTTCAACTGCTGCGGATTTTATGGACCTAAGGAGTTTGCCTACACTAACTACCCTCTCAGCAATTCATGTTATGATGGCGCATCGGAAACGGATGTCGATGCCTTCACCAACGCTCAGCAGCTCAAGCAGGTGACCCATTGTTTTCCTCAGCTTCGTTGTTTCTAGCAAGTGTCTAATATTACATCACAACTAAGGATTCAAGATGTTTTGTATGGCAACATTCATAATCAAAGTATGTGAGAAAAACAAAGGATTCATGGACAGCGACGTAATAAAATGCATGTTCTTATTTATGTAAGAGGTGTCTTCATTAGCTGGGTTTCCACAGACTGGATGTGGCGCCCCACTCAAATTCTGGCTGGACGATAACAAAGCTGTCTGGTGCTCTATCCTGGCGGGTCTCGGCGGCCTCCAGCTGATGTGCGTGATTCTCTGCATCCACATCATCCACAAGCTCAAGGACAAGTCGGGCTACAAGAGGACCTCCTCCAAGCGGCGTCTCCACGACGAGAAGTCGGCGTACTCCCTGTGAGCCGTCGACCACCATGAACTCATATGGTGAACTCGGATGTTTGTCGCCTGTGTTCCATCTCCCAACTTTTCCTGGTTGTAAAACTCCGCGGGAAGAAAGGCTGTAGCTATCACTTTCGTCCTTCATTTGACTATTCTTCACCCGGCTCTTTCTGTATTTGAATATTCTAAATTCACCTTTGTATATATATCTTTCTATTTGGGGGAATTCTAACGATTTTATATCTTTTTATTTATTCCAATACAAAATTATTTTTTAATTATTTTTGTTTAAAATTTAATTGTTCAAAACTGAAAACGTTGTGAACGTTTCATAAAAACTATAAAGCAAAGTCGATGACCCTGACACGTCTTGAGATATACATATAGTAGTACAGGACTTAAACAATCATATTTAGCAATGCCAAGGAATTAAGCCATGAAAATGTGCCATCAGTTATAGTAGTGCTTTCTGTGTTCAGGTAAGTCTGTGTGATTTATCAGAAAGTGTCGAGGCAGACGAGTGGTAGTACCAATAGAATAAACGTTCTAGCTCACCATATGGTTCATGCAATAGTAGTGGTCGACGGGAACAAATGAATTTCGTTTTAAGTATTATTGAAACCCCAGCTCGAATCTCCTACTTCAGCTGTTCTTAGGCCGCGCCGCACGGTCGAGCTCTGCCCAAAGTCTGCGGGCAATGCGCGTGATGCTTGTGTGTGTGAGAGCCAAGGTGCTCTCTGCACATTGAATTTGAGACAGATTGTCCACGTGGCAATAGATGTGCGGTACAGTTATAAATTGGTGATTTGGCTCAACATCGGGCACGGGCATTTCGATTGTCTGCTCGCTTAAGATGCTCGATGAAGGGCAAAATCCCCTTGCCCGCCAGGCAGTGCTTGGTCGTGTGCAAGCGGCATTAGTCAAGCAAATTACTTTGCAAATCTCCTTTTTATAATAGTCTAGTATACCTCTATACTCAAACTCCGTTTGATAATTTTTAATTCCTATAAGAATATGGCTTCATTAATTTCGAGAGGAAGGTATTCTATAATTTTGTACTTGAACCCTAATCGGCCATTAAATACATTGTTACGAACTTGAAAAAAATGCTATCAATATTTTACGATGCTCCGTATGATGAAAATATTTTGTGTAAGTGATTATCGCCATCAAGAGTTTCGCTAAATTGTTTCGGAACTGTTGATTCTGATAAGGTTACATACGTTACCTGTTATTGTTGATTATTTTGTTGAAATGGCTTGTGTGGTACTGTAGCTCATGAATGTACAGTGTAACTATGCCTGATCTTTTAGAGCAACATAGTACGCTCATGTTTATCCTAACGCTGTATCATTTTAATTATCGTATGTCGTCCATGTCCCTCAGAGAAAACTGAAAGATTGAATTATTTTTATAACGCCTTTTAGGATATTCAACCGACACTGCTATACGTACACTGTATGTTTCAGTGTCTGGAAGCCAGATTAGACTTAAAACGAGAAATATGATGTTTGTCCCTCACTGCTTATGTGTCCGCTTTCCTTCTCCTATGTACGTGCGGTTTGTTTCGCACTACTACTGCAGCTGCGTTTTGTGGA